TGCTGGCAGCCAGGAGGCAGGCTTGCAGAATGTGCCCTTTGGTTGGTTAAATGATTATATATTCCTGAGTGTTTTTGTATACATCAAATAGAGGGAATAGAAGTAAATATTATTGAATGATGATGCACGGAGGGGATTGTAATCATTACAATGAAATGATGGTGTAAAACTGATATTCTCCAATGTAAACTATCACTCAATTTACAATAAAAACTTTACAAAAAATAAAATAAATAAAACACAGAATCTCTGTAGTTAGGACCCAGGATACAGAATTTTTTGTAAGCTGCTTTTGAATCTTCTGTCTAGGTACTGTGAGCTAGCTGTTTCCCATGGTTCTCCTTCAGTGATTCTTTTTTTTTGATGGCTTAAGATACAAAGAGGTTCTGTTTCTTTTCTGAACCTGAAGAACTGAGCCACAGTAGATTAACAAAAATGGTATATAGATCCAATGGCAATTCGTTTGTGAATTGTGTCTCCCAAAATTATATGTCAACTTGGCTGGACCATGATTTTCATTATTATGTAATGAGTTTCCATTATTTTGTGATCTGATGTAATTATCCTACGTGTTGTGAATTCTAACCTTTATGATGTCTATGGAACCCTGGCGTGGCTGTAGAGTTGGGACTGGACTGCTAACCACAAGGTTGGTGGTTCAAACTCACCAGCCACTCCTTGGAAACCCTGTACACAGTCACTGTGAGTCAGAACTGACTCAGCAGCATTTAACAACAACAACATGATTCTTATGAGATAGAATTAAAAGCAGTTATGTTAAGGTGGCAGGATACAATTTACTGAATTAGGTTTATCTTGAGTCAATGTCTTTTGAGATATAAAAGAAATCAAACAAAGGAGCAAAAAATCAAAGGAGCCTCATTACTATCAAGAAATAGAAGCCAGAAGCAAAGCTCACTGAAGTCCCTGTATTGAGAAACTCGCATAGGCTCAGGGCTCAGGAAGATTCGTGACAAGGACCTTCCCCCAGGGCAAGCAAAGAAAACCTCTCCCTAGAGCTGGTGGCTGAATCAGACTTCTGGCCTCCTAAGCTGAAAGAACAAATTTGTTAAAGCCATCGCTGATGGTATTTCTTTAATGGCAGCACAGATAATTAAGAGACTCCAATTTTAGAATACAGTTGATCCTTAAACAACACAGGAGTTATGGACTCTGAACCCTCGTTCAGTGGAAAATCTGCCTATAATTTCTGACTCCCCAAAAACGTAACTACTAATTACCTACTGTTGACCAGAAGCCTTAGCAATAACATAGTCAATTACCACATATCTTGTATGTTAATTGTATTATATAGTGCACCCACATAAAAGCATTTCCAATATAAGATAAAGAGGTATTCTGGAAAAGTACAAGATTTTCACACCTGTTGGTGTAGCTGTAGTGACAACCTGTTGAGTTTCTTTTTTACGGTGGTCCTTATGCTGGGATCACACATCTTTAAATATTAGGTTACCACAGCAGTAGATGGCACACATCAAGAAGTTAACTTTCTTGTAATGTCATGACTTTTCTCTGCTTCCTAGGTGTATTTCCAGCATCACTAATGGCACTTTGTATGGGTCCCATGGTGCTATTTAAGGTTTATAATATTGCACTAAAACATGATGAAAAATACATGAGAACCTCGCAAGATCACTTTTTACTGGGATACAATATTTACTGGAGAAATAAACTCATGCAGAGATGATTAGCATCACCTGGCATTTTTTAAAAAGTCTACGTATAAGTGGTGTGGCACTGTAGGATAATATGCTGGACTGGACTGCAAGATCAGTTTGAACGTCAAGGTCAGCAGTTCAAATTCACCAGCCACTCCTCAGAAACCCTGTACTGGGTCGCTATGAATCAGAACTAACTTGATGGCACTTGACAACAACAACAATATGTGGACCCACACAGTTAAAACCCGTGTTGTTCAAGGGTAAACTGTACATCTAAAATACACTGTGAGTTGTAGAGTATAAGCATGTGTAGATTATAGACTTTGCATATGTGTTTTATTGTCACTTTGACAATGGCTCTTTTCATAATGTTGACTCTTCTGTTCCTTTTGCAACTTTTAGTCATCAGCACCTCTCCTTTCTACTTGACTGCTTTTCGTTAATTTTCTGTTACTTCTGTATTGTAGTGTAAGAACACTTTTAGAGAGAAATACTTTCTAGATGTTGACCAAATACAGCCTTGAGGAAAATATTAATAGACATCAAAGATCCTGTTGTGAGTAGTTGATCATTTCTTCCTCTGAGATATTTTTTACACAGACATCTATTATTACGGAATCTCACCATCTTACTCAATGGGCTGTGAACTACTCAAACTCAAATTGGCATTCAGTGCATTCTGACTCGCAGCAACCCTGTATAGCGTTTCCATGGCTGTAAATTTTGATGAGCACAGAAAGCCGCGTCTTTCTCCCGTGTAGCTGCTGTTGGGTTATAACTGCCAACCATTTGGTTAGCAGTCCAGTGCTTATCCCACAACGCCACACCAGAGTTCGAGGAACAGCGTTTTCCTCATTTCTGCTGGAGCAGCCAGTACTACCACATGGTTAGTTATTAGTTGTGATCAATCAGTCCCAACTCATGGTGACCCCTTGTGTGTTAGAATAGAATATACTTCACAGGGTTTTAAATGGCTTATTTTTCTTCAGTAGATCATCTGACCCTTCTTCTGAAGTGTCTCTGGGTGTACTCAAACCACCATGCTTTCTGTTAGCAACGAAAGCACATAAACCATTTGCACCACTCAGGAACTCCACCACATAGTTGTTATTGTTAAGTGCCATCGAGAGGTTCCCACCCTTAACAACCCTGTCAGTATAGGGTTTCTGAGGAGTGGCTGGTGGGTTTGAACTGCCCACCACAAAGTTCAACCTGACCTTGCAGTCCAGCACTTTATCCTGCAGTGCTGTACCAGGACTCCCTACCACATAGTGGTGGTGGAGGTGTGCCGTGGAGTCGCTTCCGACTTATAGCGACTCTATGTAGGGTTTCTGAGGCTGTAAATCTTTATGGGAGCAGAAAGTCTCATCTTTCTCCCGTGGAATAGCTGGTAGTTTCGAACTGCTGACCTTGAGTTTAGCAGCCCAACTTGCCACCGCTACTCCACACTCTGTAAATGTTGTTGAAATCTGATAAAAGCTGCAGCTACCAATACTAAAACTTAGGTTGTTTTTACCAGAATGGGTATACTATTTCTTTAAGATTCAAATTTAAATGAATATGAATTAGGCAGTTTAGATTTTATTTTTTCTTTTCTAGGTTTGTATTTCAGCAGTCCGAAAAGTTTGCAAAGGTGGAAAGTCAATACCAGCTACTGAAAATAGAAAACAACGAGTTCCAGGGACTTCAAAGTAAAATCAGTTTAATTTCAGAAAAGGTAATTAATTACTAATTGAATTATTTAGGGAGATTTTTAACATTTTCCCCCCAATACCAGCTCTCCCACTACAACCTCCAGTTTAGAAATTCCTGGTTCCTGTCTTTTTATACCTTTGTTATTTTAACCTTCAGTGAGTGGTCTTCTTAATTCCTGACATCTTTCCTTCAATCCAGTGTAGATTCAGCTTGTATTTTGAAAGAACAAGGAGTTTTTTATGGAACAAATGTTTTCATTGAAAAAGGCCAGTATGCTCATATTCATTCAGTACTTTCTATTTAAATACCAGGCACCTGAAAAAAAATACAAACCAAACTCATTTTTGTCGAATTGATTCCAACGTACAGTGACCCTGCAGGACACAGTAGAACTGCCCCCTAGGATTTCAAAGGATTCCTGGTGTGGCGCTGCGGGTTAATTCGCTGGACTGCAAGGTCGGTTTGAACTGCAAGGTTGGAAGTTCAAGCTCACCAGCCACTCCTCAGAAACCCTATACAGGGTCACTAGGAGTCAGAACTGACTCGACAGCCCTTAACAACAACAATCCTTAAGGAAGCAAGCAGACTTCCACATCGTTCTCCCATCAAGCAGCTGGTGGGTTCAAACTGCTGACCTTTCTGTTAGCAGCTGAGTCACTAGAGTGCCTATCAGGTGTCTAGGAAATTGAAAATATGCTTTATTGTTAGTTATAAAGTTAGAATATGAGTAACATTTATTGGGAAAAAAATCTGTACATCTTTTCCCGTTTTATAAGTATACATGCATGTGTAATAAGAATGACTAACATAAGTGCTAATTCTGTAGCCAGATAACAAAAAATCAAAAACAAACTGTCTGCCTTTGAGTTGATTCCAACTCAAAGCGACCCTGTCTAGGGTTTCTGAAGCTACAAATCTTTACAGGAGCAGAAAGCCTCACTTTTCTCATGTGGCACAGGTGTTGGATTTGAACTGTCCACCTTGTGATTGGAAGTCCAGAGCTTATCTGACAGTGCCACCAGGGTGTCTAGCCAAATAATAGTTCTACTGAAAATAACATCCATGTTTATATTGTGTTTGCAAATGCTAACCTCCACCAAATGGCACTATTACTGTGAATCTTAGAAATGTGACACAGATAAAACTTTCTGTAACTCCCATTCCTCTCAGAAGAGGATCAGCTGCAATCAATAAAGCATCATGTGGGCATTGTCTGGCTCTTTGGGACTGAGCTATCATTGGGAAGCATGCTTTGTTTGTTCGTTTCTTCATTTACTAAATCTTCATGTGTGTCCCAGAATAGACAATGACCTGTGCAAGTGGGCAAGTACGTTATCAAAGCAGATATGGTAGACAGACGGTGTACAGCCATGCAGCTTTATGCACAGGATGAGTTATAATCTCCCAGAAGAGGAAAGTTACAGATGAAATTTATGACACCTCAGCAAATGTCAGGGGATTCCCCGGAGTATCGATTTAGGTGTCTCTGCGAAAGTGCTTCAGGAAGATGATATTTTGACCTAGGGCTCAGTTGGAATCTGTTTTAGCCGTTGGGGTTACGCTAATGAGAGAGAACAAAATGATAGAAAAAATTCAAGGAGCTTAAAAACTTTAGATATACTTGATTAAAAGCAATTGAAAACAAATTTTAAACAAAATTATATTTAAACAGAAAAGTTTGGTGATAATTAAAAAATTCATAGCAATCCTGTATAGGTTTCCAAAGAGAAGATGGTAGGTTTGAACCACCAACCTTGCAGTTAGCAGTCCAGTGCTTATCCTACAGTGCCACACCAGCACGCCGATAAAACAACTAATCCCATGTAAAACT